GACATTGTTAATAATGAGGAAGAACATTGTTGAGTTTGGTGCGGTGCAACGCGTGTAGGCTTAGATCATCAACTTTTTTAAAAAAAAAAAAGAAATTTATTGACCAATTTGAACCAATTCACATTAAATTTTCTTAATGTTTACTAACAATAGGTTAAAAAAAATGGATTAAATTGAAAGTTTTTTAAAAGCATATAAATTAATTTGATCAAAAAAATTTTAAAAAAAATATTTTGAATAAAAATAAAACTAATAATATAAAGAACAAATCATTGTTTTTGCTAAAAAGTTTACACAAATTAGGAGAATATGCACTCCCCATTATTTATTTTATTTGGTTGAACCTTACGGTGAATAAACAAATAAACACCACTTGATTTATTTATTTATTCTTTTTTCAGGAAACCAAAAACCTCTTGGTTCCAGTTAACAACATTGAAATCTGAATATATATATATATATATATTATTATATGTAGAATATTATTAATTTAGGAAGGTGGCTCAAGTGGCCACGAGCAGTGCTCTTCCCCGGACAAGTTAATACAATATTTTTCACACTAATTATTATTTGAAGCTAAGAGTAAAAATAATATATATATATATAATTAGTTTATTTTTTTCTTTTTTAATTTTCTAAAAAAATTATTGCTTAAACCAAAATGAATTTTATCCGCAAAGAATGAAGTATAATAAAAATTCTATCTCTTAATAATGACGATGTTAACTTATAAATAAATAAATAAATAAACTTGGGTAGTGGGTTAATTACAAACTTCCATAATTGTAATAGAAATAATGCAATTTATATAGATATAATATAGGTTATAAGCACTTCCAACAAATAGTTAAAATTCAATGGACTTGTTCAAACTACATATCAAGAGGAACCAAAAACCTTCCATAAAAGTCCAATAAGAACACTTTCTCTAATAGATAAAATTACAACCACAAAAAAAAAAAAAAAGACTTTTAAGTAAAAATACACAAAACTTCAACCAAATACAACAAAATCAAGAGCTAAATGGGAAAAGTATAATTCCCATATATTATATCGTCTTAAAAAAAAAAAAAGACAGAGAACCATTATTAAATTTAATTCGAATTTAAATATTGAATGAAATAAAAATATAATAGAAATAGTATAAATATTTTAATTTAAGATTAAAATTAAATTAAAATTTATTATTGTAAAATTGAATATATGTTAACTTTTTTTTTTAATAACTAAATGTATGAATTAAATAAAAATAAAAATATTTAAATTCAACATAGTCTTAGAGTGCATGAAGATTTGAAATTGACATCTCATCACGGAGTTGAATAAAATCTTACCGGATTATTTAAGTGGATTTTAAATGATTGCTTTCTTGATTAAATTCATCCTTGTGGAGCTAGCATAATCTCAGTGGCATTTTTGTAATTTACATCAACTCCAGGTGCTATCTTTTATAACCGTAACCTCTACACACACACATATATATATATATATATATCCCAATTCACCACCTTTCACACCCTGCCTGATCCTCGTGTCGTGGACTCTCATTTTCCAAGTCGCCCGTTGTAAGTCCTTTTCCCATCTTATTTTCCCGGGCGGAAAACTGTTTGAAATGTCTAACATACCCCTAACGTGTCAGATAATTCCCATCCATCTCTTCCTTTTTCTCATCATCGTCTTACCCTCTGAGGTAATTTCACAGACCGTTAACACAGAGGAGAGATCCATCTTACTCGACCTGAGACAGAAACTGGGCAATCCACCGTCCATTGACTCCTGGAACTCTTCATCGTCGCCGTGCATCTGGCCGGAGATTGAATGCACGGAAAACTATGTTACCGGACTTTTCCTCAGGAACATGGACATCACTGTTGAGATTCCGTCGACAATATGTGACCTGAAGAATCTGACCAAGCTCGACCTCTCCTGGAACTTCATCCCCGGAGAGTTTCCTCGGGTCTTGTTTAATTGCTCCAAGTTACAAGAGCTGGACCTTTCTCAGAACTACTTTGTAGGTCCTATTCCTGTCGATATTCACCGTTTGTCCGGTCTTCGGTTAATAAACCTCGGTGCTAACAACTTCTCCGGCGATATTCCGCCGGAGATATCACGGTTAACAGAGTTGCAAGTCTTGCATTTGTACCAGAATGAGTTTAACGGAACGTTTCCTAAGGAGATTGGGAACCTGGCCAACCTTGAAGTGCTGGGTATGGCTTATAACGACAGGTTCGTTCCTGGCCAGATACCGGATGAGTTTGGTAAGTTGAAGAAATTGAGGTTTCTGTGGATGACGGAAGCGAATTTGATCGGCGAAATTCCGGAAAGTATTGCTGATCTTACGAATCTTGAGCACGTGGATTTGTCGAGGAACAACTTGGTGGGTGCATTTCCTGGTGGGTTCTTTGCTTTGAAGAATTTGTCCAATTTTTATATGTTTCACAATAGATTATCTGGAGAAATACCTAGATCGATCCAAGCCATAAATTTAGTTGGAATAGATATTTCCATGAATAATTTGTCGGGTTCGATTCCGGATGATTTTGGGAAGTTACAGAAGCTGCAGTTATTGAATCTGTTCGACAATCAGTTTAGTGGTGAAGTTCCATCAAGTATTGGACTGATCCCTACGCTGAAGCAATTTAGTGTTTTTAGCAATAAGTTGAGTGGAATCCTTCCACCCGAAATGGGTCTCCATTCCCATCTCGAAGCTTTCGAGGTGTCGGAGAATCAGTTCAGTGGGAAATTACCTGAAAATTTATGTGCAGCAGGGGTGTTACAAGGAGTTGTTGCGTTTTCCAACAATCTCATTGGAGAGCTGCCTAAATCGCTTGGAGACTGCCATACTCTGCGCACACTTCAGCTTCATCACAACAAGTTTTCTGGGGAGTTTCCTTCGGCTGTGTGGAGAATCTTTAATCTATCAAGTTTGATGATAAGTAACAACTCGTTTACTGGCAAGCTACCTATGCATCTGGCGTGGAATTTATCCAGAGTTGAGATCGGTGACAACAGATTTTCTGGGGAGATACCGAGTGGAATTGGGTCTTGGTCCAGGTTGACAGTTTTCAAAGCAAGCAATAATCTGCTCCGGGGAGAAATTCCCAAGGGATTGACTTATCTCAATCAACTTACTACTCTCTTGCTTGATGATAATCAACTTTCTGGTGAACTACCATCTGAAATTGTCTCATGGAGATCATTAAATACTTTGGATCTTGCCAGAAACAAACTTTCTGGGGAAATTCCGGCCGCCTTTGGGTCTTTGCCTAACCTACTTAATTTAGATTTATCTGAGAATCAATTCTCAGGTAAAATCCCACCCGAATTCGGCAACCTGAGACTCACTTTCCTTAACTTGTCCTCCAATAAACTTTCTGGGAAAATCCCAGAGGAGTTTGATAACCTGGCATATGAAAACAGTTTCTTTAACAACGCTAAGCTATGTGTGGATACTCCAGTTTTGAACCTGCCAGATTGCTATTCTAAAACCCGGGCTTCAAGCGGATTGTCCTCTAAATACCTTGCCATCATTCTGGTAGTTGCAGTAATTGTCTTTCTGGCAACAGTTGTATCAACGTTGCTCGTGGTTAGAGACTACATGAGGAAAAAGCATCAACGTGAAGTTGCAACTTGGAAGCTGACCTTGTTCCAGAGATTAGATTTTACAGAAGCAAACATATTGTCAAGTTTAACAGAGAGCAATATGATTGGAAGTGGTGGATCAGGGAAGGTGTACAAGATCAGTACTAATAATGCCGGTGAATATGTTGCTGTGAAGAGGATATGGAATAACAGGAAACTGGATGAAAAGTTAGAGAAGGAGTTTATAGCAGAGGTAGAAATTCTGGGAAGAATCAGGCATGGGAATATAGAGAAAATTGTTGTGTTGCATTTCGAGTGAGGATTTTAAGCTTCTGGTGTACGAATACATGGAGAATCGGAGCCTGGATAGATGGCTCCATGGAATGAAGAGATCAAGAATATCATCCGGGTTAAGTTCAGTTCATCATGCAGTTTTAGATTGGCCAAGGAGGTTGCAGATTGCAATAGGTGCTGCACAAGGGCTATGTTACATGCACCACGAATGCTCCCCTTCGATCATCCACCGAGATGTGAAGTCCAGCAACATCTTGTTGGACTATGAATTCAAGGCAAGACTAGCAGATTTTGGATTGGCCAAGATGTTAGATAGAGGAGGAGAGCCGCACACAATGTCTGCAGTGGCTGGCTCATTTGGTTACATTGCTCCAGGTAAACACTAATTATCTCAGATTCAATTTCAAAAATACATGTTATTAACTTAGACATTATATGCAATTGCAGAGTATGCTTATACGAGAAAAGTGAACGAAAAGATCGATGTGTATAGCTTTGGTGTGGTGCTGCTAGAGTTGGTGACAGGGAAAGAAGCAAATTTTGGAGATGAATACACAAATCTTGCAGAATGGGCATGGAGACAGTACCAAGAGGACAAGTATATTGTGGATGTTCTTGACCAGGAAATAAAAGAAGAAGATTACTTGGAGCAAATGACAACTGTGTTTAAGCTAGGAATGATTTGCACTGGGACATTACCCTCTTCAAGACCTTCCATGAAGGAAGTTCTGCAGATTCTTCGCAGGTGTAGCCCTCAGCAAGGATATCAACCCAAGAATAAGGATTCCCAGGCTCATGTTGATACTTTACCTCTCATCATTCCTACCATGTAATAAGCACCTGAGGAGAAAGTTAGCCATAGAAAGTCCTAGGATTAAGTAAAGGATGAGGTTTTGATCAAGATTTAAGAGAGAAAAAGAACGATGATCTCCATTGAGTGAATCCCTAGAAAAAATTACGCAATGTAACATTACCCAATCATCCCCTATCCAAATTCCCTAGCTTGTTGGGCTAACTGTTTTCTTTTTCCTTTATTTTTTTTTGGGTCTTAAAAGTTATATATCTCTGTATCCATTATGTACATATGTATTTTAAAGAAACCAACTTTATCTAACCAAAAAATAGTTGGCAATCCAATTATTTTTTCTTCTTATTTGAAAATTTCAGTGTTGAAAATTAATTTTCAGTTAATATATTGTAAATGGTTTTGTGAAATTATGAAGCAAACAAAAGAATCATTTCTTTTTTGTAAATTCATATTCAAACAAAGTTTGAACTGTTAAAAGATTTTTTGTTTCCAATTCTGATTATAACACTTATTGAAAATTATATTATTATCACCTTTTCAAGTTTAAGCTAAATGCATAAACTAAAAACTTTGTTGGGTATATAAAAATATTTTTACAATTTTATTTCTTAACTTCCTAGTAAAAAAATTCGGACGAAACTATAAATTTTTTAATTAAAATTTCTAATAAATATAATAATTATGTTAACCAAAATTCCTATTAGAGTCAACACTACCTAATTAGAAGTTTTACAAACTATTCAACTAAATTCTTAATGAAAAGATTATACTAACAACTCAACTGAGAATTCTATTGCAATTAAAATTGTTTGATTAAAAATTGTAATAAATGTCACAATTGCATTAACCAAAAATTCTATTGAAATTAAAATTAGATTAAAATTAAAGTTTCCTAATTAAAAAATATTTTAGTAACCATCTAGCAATTCTATAAAGTCACATAACCAAAAAATGCTAAAGGAATTAAAACTTTTATTAAAAACTATATCAATGTCTAATTACAAATTTAGTCATAATTAAATCTAAATGGGCAATGTTAGAAAAAAAAATGTTACAATTATATTAGCTGAAACTAAAGTTGTACAATTAAAATTTCTTTTTAACTATTTAATTAAAAATTCCATGAAAATAAACTATTTAATAAAAAATATCTTGTTTTAATAACTAGAGAAAGAATATAAAGAAAATGGATTCTACTTTTGTGGACTGTAATTAAAATACAATTTTTTTAAAATTAAAAATTATCATAACTGTTTAATAAAATTTTTAGTATAACTAAATCTGTACATAGTGCAGGTTACATATCTATATATTATTATAACAACATAAATAAGTTAAGTGTGAATGAGCACGCTTGCTTGCACCGGCCTGCTGCAGAAACAAAACATTTACAGTGGCATGGAAGTTCTCTCCGTAAATCTTACCAGCTCTAACCAATGATTCTGATTCTTAAAAAATAGAGAAGGATACCAATTCTATAGAGGTCAATAAATCAATCCTGATTTTTGGGAGGAAAAGCATCAATTAATGTATAATCTGCCATAAGATTGCAGGTTGCATCCAAGACTTTGTAGATTGTTCAATATCAACTTCATCAAATTGTTAACACCTCTAATCTCAGAATGCATACCGATAGATGGCATCAGCAACACCATCTTCGTCATTGCTAGCACCTATCACGTTAGCCACTGCTTTTGTCTTCTCCGTGCCATTACTGAGAGCAATGCCTAGAGAAGCTAATTCAAGCATCTCGATATCATTTTCCCCGTCACCAATAGCCATTACCTGAAAAGCAACGTACCAAAATCAACCAGACGAAGAGAGCGTCTTAAAATAAACTTAACACACTTCTACAAATACGATCTTTACTTAGAAATAAAGGGAAAAAAAAAAAAGCTAAGATGTTTAAGCATCATGGCTCATCTTTTCCATCAGTTAGAAATGTGACTTCTTCTGCCATCTTATGGCATTCATGATGTAAAAAAAAACAGCAAGTTTTTTTTCACTTTAGGCCTAGATGACTGAATGAATTTATGTTCCAGGTGGGACTATGGTGGGTGCTTGAGTTTGGCTTGTAGACAAGCCCATAATTTAAGCTTGACCATGAAGAAAAAACTAAAAAACTCATATAGGTTGTAAATGTGTAAATCACGACTCACCAAACCCAAAGTTGCACTAGAAACAAGCAAATAACTGACACTGTTTGAGAACGAAAACAGAAAGACAGGTCAGGATGTGAATGTCACTAAGGGAATTACAACTTAACTACTACTCCCTTTGGTTGAATGTTCAAAATTGTCTTTCATCCCTGAAAACGATCCTATATATTACTGAAGGAATGAATGAAGAGTTCTTTCTCAAAAAAAAAGGACAGAATAGAGTTTACAGCACCAGATAGTGGCATTTCCAGGTAGTGAACTATCTCATCTTATTAAAGTGGAGAAGGCATGCACCCCTTTCATTAATCATTCATAACTCTATCAAAAACATTCTAGTTTTAATCATCTTTATGTTCAGTTTGCTTCACTAGTATCATATCCTAACATATATCAAAACAACTACAAGGGAAAATTCAGGAATCCAGTAAGGAAAATTAAAAAAAGCATTCTTAAGAAAATTGGAATTTCTTGAGAAACCTAAGCAGGTCAAAAGAAGGGAGAAGTTGGGAGAAGATGGAAACAAGAGTTGCATCGCTTTGTACCTCCTTTGCCGTAATTCCCAAATGATCAATCAGCATTCTCACTCCATTACCCTTAGAGGTTCCAGGTGGGACAATTTCAAGCATGTCTTCCTGTGCTTGGACAACTTTGGCATGATCACCAGTTGCTTCCGACCAGTATGGCCGGAGAACAGTAGCCACCCCGTCAGCAGTGTCTAAAAAGATCAGCTTCTGTAAAAACAAATTATGTGGATGATAAGAACAGAAGAAACAGTACCATAATGTAAATATTTCAAAGCTAAAAGAACAGCATTTAAAATGCATCCTCGCCAAATATATATGCATGTAAAAGACACAAAAACATGTATATCAAAGGAAAGTACTGCTGGGAAATGTAGATTAAATGTAATTAGGGTGAAAGGTATACTAGTAATACACCCTTCTGTGTAATTAATTATGTTTTCTTTCTAATTTATATATGAAACTGTATATATAGGACCCTAATATTTAATGAAAGAAACAACATTCTATTCTTCCATATAGCATCAAAGTGTGAGGAAAAAAACCATAGTTCTCTTTTATGAATTCCAATCGTTCATCATTGCCAAAATAAGAAAAAAAACCCTGAGGAGGCCAGCTTTCATAGCCGACCACCAGTAGACCAGTTTTTCTTGTCACAAGCACATTCCTAAGATCATTCCTAGAATACTTACAAAGCATTCTGTCAAGCACCTTACTTGGCAAGTCATTTCATTTCACATTGTTAGATTTATTTGTTGGTTGAACAAGTCCAAAATAGTATTGAACTTAAGTTCAGATTGTCAGCTTACTTGGCAAGTCATTACATTTCACATAATTTTGGCTCAAAATGTAAGGATGCTTTGTGGTGGTAACTAGGGGGAGGGACAGGACTCTTGCCCCTTGTTACTATGATGAGAAGATTCAATACTATGGTTTTTTCATTATTCTCAACATATAATTCACCTTTTTCATATTCTGCCACACCAAGGTCATAAAACCAATGGTGACCAAAAACAAAATAAGTATTTTTCATAGACAAAACATCAAAATCGACTTAATCCGTCTAAATTCCCAACTTGGTAGGAACTTTACATCTATGACTGACTATGAAACAGAGCCTGCAAAAACAGAGGTCCGGCTGGATGTTTTCCAGCTGTGAAGCTGGGTAGCAGCGGACAGCTGCAGAATTTTGGCTATAAGGGCCAGTTATGTGTTTATGTTTCTTTTCTTTTAATTCCTGTAATAAAGGTTGGTTTATGGTTTGGAAAAACTACAATATCTTTTCTATAGCTTTGTTAACATGTTAGAAAAAAGTATTCTTCTTATTGAATAACTAGTTACATGAGGTTTCAAATATATATATAGCCATCCTAGCTACGTAAAAAGAAACTTAATTATTTTGGGATCCTAAGATATGTGGGATATTCTACCATAATAGACACTTAACTAAATAGGCCTAATTCTAGGTATACAATTTGTTAAAGAGAAGCAAAAAAATATATACATCAAAGTATCTACTTTTCCCACAATTTTTATTCATAAGCACTATGTTGAATCACCAATATATATAGGGTGTTTACATAGCCTAAACTTACAAAAATACTTTAATTAAAAAATAAAAACAATATGAGAGTTTTGACAACATAAGCAATAAAATCCTAAAGTAACAAGAAATCATTTCTTCATAGTTCCTAAATAAGCCAAATACACTTGGAAATATATAAAATTTATAATTTTTTTCAATATAATATATAAAATTTGTGATTTATAAATATTCACAATAGTGAAATGTATCCCAGAATATCCCTGTTCTGCAAGTTATTATCACAAAAACATAAACTTATGAAAAAAAAATTCAATTCTTTATATTATATTCCTTTTTTTATAGAATAAGAGAATATATTAAGATTAGGTGAAGAAGATACAACAAAAGAGAATGATACATTCTCCCAAAAGAAACAAAAGAAATAAAACCAAAACAAAAAACCCAACAAGAAAAGAAAGAAAGACAGAAAGAGATTTCTATATCTTCTTCCTATTCTAGATAACCTGTTGCAGATTGTTTCCCTCTCACATTACCTTTTCTTTTCCCGGGGGGAGGGGAAACTTCTGCAAGGACTTTTCCTTTAAAAAACATGATGGGAAGAGGCAAAATTTTGATCAATGGTTGATTTATTTGTCTCAAAGTGTAAACTGATGGTTGTTTTATTTATCTCAAAGTGTAAATCCCACGGCCATCACTTCCTTGGTAACAAGAGAACAACATATTAGATTATAGATTATTACACAAGCTGAAACTGACAAAAAAATATCCTACTTATTTTCTGTATTACATTCTAACAAAGCCAAAACCTTCATGTTTCTATGTATCCAAATGCACATAGAAATACATATCATGCCATACCTGTATATCAGCTTCAGCAATAAGATGGTCCACTGAATCCATGATCTCTGCCTGTTCATGCAATTTTGATATAATGTATGACAAATTTGCTTAAGCAAACAGATAAAGTGTAGCCAAAATAGAGAACTAAATGCATTAGGCACCTTCGGCTCATGGTATACAGTGTGCAGTGACTGAACAAGAGGGTGATCAAATAGTGTTAAGCAGCGATCCTTACTGAATGCAATAAGTGGAACTTTGTTCTCCAAAGAGTAAAGAGATGCCTGCAATTTCAAGTTATGAATTTTTATTTTAGAAAATAACTAATGTGATATTTCAACCAAGCAAGCACATGCTTGGTCAACATGTTTACATCTTAAACTGACTTTTCTATTCTGAGCAAATAAGGTCTTCACGCTGATAAACCATCCACCTACACATAAACATAGTTACAAAAGAAGCTGAAAACAGTTGGACCTTCTTTAGTTGTAGAAAACTATTTTCATTTCTATTTTCTTGTAAGTTTGTTTATCTTTAAAAAACAAAAACATATGTAACTGTCAAAAATGACAAGTTCAGTTATATTTAAATATGTTAAAAATGAAAACAAAGTTTGAAAATGATGGTGCGATATAGATGAGATTTTTAAAAACTTTATGTTCTTTCAAACACATCATTTTTTACAAATATTTTCTCAACTAGTTTTCAATTTTCGACAGCCATGTTGATTTTTGTATATAAACACTTCTGTTAAAAATAAAAACTGAAAGCATTTTGTCTAACCAAAAAGAGCCTCAGCTTTTAATCAATAATTAAAACAAATATTACAAACCCTTTCTCGCAGGAAAATAAAATATGGAAAAGGGTACACACAACATGAGCAAGAATGAATTTTCGTGATAAAAGTCTCATTTGAAGTTGTCGTGATCTATAGTCCAAATCAGAGAAAGAGATACAAATATGAATGAAAAATTGAGTTTTGGGGTATATTTTAAGCTTTCATGTACTTATACACATTTACATGGTTTCTAAAACAGAATTATGGGTACATATCACAAATTTTAGGGCTTTAAATTAAATAGAGAAAATTTACAAAACAAAGCAACGATCTTTCCTCCATAAGCTTGGCCGTCAAAAATCCCCCTTAAGATGGTGAATAGATAGATGTCTTTCATGCCAATATTAGTCAAGCCACAAATAGATGTCAAAAATCCTATCAATATTACTTCCCAGTACCTCAATAAAAGCATCTACAAGTTGTCTTCCAAAAGTCACACGGAGGATATTAAAACACAACTTAACTTTTGTTTGATGGAGTATAGATCAATTCAATGTGTTTATTCCTGTCAAGTTGAATTAGATTGTAAATGATGCTAAGTGCAATCTTGTGGTCATAGGTATAGTAGTAGGATCTTCTCTTCTAATAAATTCATTTCATTTTTCAATTTCTAAGGCCATCATAGCTCACATTCTACCTGAGTCATTCAATATCAGCTTCCATAGTAGATCTTGCCACTACATTCCATTTTTTGTTTCTCCAAATAACCAAAATTTCCACCGAAAAATGTGAAACATCCAATAGATTTTCCATCATTAAGAGATCCAACCCAATCTATATTGATGAACCCTTCTTTCATAGTGCAAACATTAAATATCTCAAAATGTGATTAACTACACTAAGATGTAGTTCTTCAGACTCATGCATGTATTGGCTCACCATACTTGGAGTGTAAACTATATTAGTCTAGCAGTATAAACATATTAATCTCAGAACCAATCTCTGATAATGTCAATTTCCACCAGCTTACTAGTATCACTTTATAGTTTGTGGTTTGCTTCAATGGGAGAATCAACTCGTTTGCAATTCAATACACATATTTTCAATGAGTTCTAAACATATTTGCATCAGGAATTAAGATGATGTTTTCCGATCCAGCAACTTCAATACTAAAAAAAATATCTCAACTTCCTCAAATCCTTGATCTCAAACTTTGGTGCATGGGATTTTCTTTAGCTTTGCCATTTCTTTCGTATCATCTAATGTCATTACTATATCATCAACATAAAAAGTGACAATGGTAATCTTATTATGTTGACGTTTAAAGAACAAGATATAATCAGCATTACTTTGACTATATCATAGGTGGCCATAGTATTATTGAATCCATGTGAACCAGGCCCTAGTATATTCTTTTTTTACCGATATAATGGCTTCTCCAATCTGCAAAGCTTTCCCCCACTTTTCTCAAGTTCAAGACCTAGAGCAAATTCCACAGAAACTTCCTCACCCAATTCCCCATAGGAAAAATATTATTAAAATCAAGTTGTTACAAATTCCTGTCAAGATTAGTTGCACATGACATGACAATTTTAATGGTGTTCATTTTCGCAACTGGGTCAAAGGCCTCTTAATAGTCAACCTCATGGCTTTTGTGAATCCTTTTGCTACTAGTCGAGAGCCCTGAATCTCCTCAAAACTTCCATTAGCTTTATGTTTTATGGTAAACACTCATCTACAATCCACAGCTTTCTTTTCCAATGGAAGATCAAGAAGGTCCCATTTCCTTTTTTGTTAGAACTCTCATCCCATCATCCATTGCCACTTTCTACTTAGGATCAATTAGAGCTTCTTGCCAACCCTATAGCATAGACACATAGGACAAAGACGATACAAAAGCTTTATATCAAGGTGACAATATTGGATAAAGCATGTTCTGTGCAATTACAAACCTTTTTATCCTAACAGCAGTAAAAAATTTTGGATCATTAGTACCAGTATCTGGTTTAGAGGAATCAAAATATTTCAGGGGACTCTGTCTAACCCCCATAATAGGTACTTCTCTGTCTGATAACTAACAAGTGACCCACCTCCATCAACAATTAGATCATCCCCCCCATTTCTGTTCTCGAGAAACTTTATCCTATATCTTTAAAACCTACAAATTTGAGTCATTTGTCTGTGATACTTGTGAGTTTGCGAAGCACATTAGAACTTTTTATCCTTCGATTACTAATAATAACTTTTGTTTCTTTCAAAACTATCAATTCATATGTGTGGGGACATACTCAAACCACGTTGTTGGTTTGTTACAAATAGTTTGTCATGTTTACTGAATGTTGCAGTAGAATGACTTGGTTATATCTTTTGCATGCTAAAATAAAACTTTTTGTGCTGTAAGTCATTTTATAGAATGGTTTCTATAAAATTTGAAGCAAAAATCAAAATGTTTTAAACTAGTAGTATGAATAAACGGATGATGCCTTTAGTGGTATCTTGACCTACAGGGGATCATGTGCTCAGCGTTCAAACAAGCCAGTCCAACATGACAAGAATAAACATATTAAGATCAAGTTTTATCAAAAAAAAAATTAAGTTGTCATAGTCTAAATACTTCCATATAACTTCCAATATATAATTTGCAGATGCCTTCACTAAAGAACCAAGAAGTAAGCAATTTCATGGATTGATTTGCAAGATGGGCATAAGAGGCATTTAGACAACACATCTTGAGAAGGAGAGATTACCACCAAGATCATTGAGAAAAGATCCTTGCTGTTATTTTGTTAAAAAATTCTACTAAACATAAATCCTTAAACTAGTTATACATATCTGTAGTTTCCTTTTAGAACGAATGTAAAACGTGTATAAATGTGTAATGGAGTAAATAGTAATACACACTGAAGTTCATAAATAAATTACCTGCCTACAAACATGCGGATCTAAATTGCTTCTAAAAACTTCTCGTCCCTGTCTACCATAAACGAGCAACCCCTAGAATCAAGAAAAAGTAGATTACAGGACAGCAAATGAAATTACAATCTACAATTAGAAATGAGCTAGAAAGCATGTAGCTATTCACATCACGAACACAGCGAGACAGATTGGCTTTTCAAGTGTTATGACGAGAATGATTACCCAAGAAATCATGCAGTATAGCGTCTTCAGTGAGTAGGAATTTACCACACATATTTCATGATAAATGCTTTAGCACTTGGATTAACTACACATATGACATATACTTTCAACTCTTTTATGTCCTTAATTCTTTAAAATCTTATTTAAAGCTGATATAATTTGCAGGGAATGGCAATACAAATTCTTGCGAACCTTTCCAAATAGTATCCGGTGATCTCATTTATAATTTTCCTACTTAAGCTAGTTTCCTATGCAAGTGTATACAAGTCTCATAGTATCACCATAAAAATCTATATATGGCTTCTTCATAAATATAATAAAATCAGATTTTTCTTTTCAATATCGCATCAAATCATGGTTAATTAAAAAAACAGATAAAGAATTGAAATCTCGAACTATTCACATTGCAAGTCGAGGTTCTGAATTACATGTTGTCTCGGGATCTAAGAGAGGTAAGGTGAGAGGTTTTAGCTTCGACAAGGATAGGGTAGAAGTACTTGAACCGTTGGTTTGCAGATGATACCATCGTCCCGTCTCATGGTCTTAATTGTTAATAATGTGCTTACTATTATCCAAGTGTACCTTCATCTCAACCCACCGTTAATTTGGGTGTTCCTCTTTCGGATAAGCCTTTGTCAGCTTATTCTTTGAGATCCTATACTGTATAGGGTTTCTAGGCACCATCACTGTTAGAAGAGTAGTTTTTTTTTTTTCTCATTTATCATTCAATATTTGCCTTTCCATCACCCCTTGTATAACCTCAAGTTATCTAAAATCTCTAGAATTGTGGTTAACATAATAGAGTGGACGATGAGGAATTTTTTGTGGTCAAGAGCAAAAGAGGTGTCAAGACAATATTAGCTTAGCATGAGGGAATGGCTAACTTAATATAAGTAAATTGTCTTTATTGGCAAAGTCGTTATGACGATTTTTTAAGACCCTTCTCTTTGTGCCACAACTTTTTACGAGTACAGGTTGTACTATAGTAGTTTGGACTTAAGACTCATAAGAAGCCTTGGGAAGCCATCTCACAAATTTATGATTCTTTCATTCTCCATCTCCATTTGAGAGTAGGGAATAGCTCTCCATTCTATTCTAGGAAGAAACTTAGGTGGGAAATCTTCCTTTGGCTAGCAATTTCCTTTGTCGTCATAATGTTCCCTTTCAAGACAAGGCTCTTATCTCTATTTATATCCCAAGCCAATGGCTAGATTCAAAAGTAGAACTTGTTCTAGCTCATAAACCTTAATGATAGAAAAACTATTGATACCATTTCTTCCTTTACCATTATTGAGCCTTCAAGATTTGTTGAGATAGATTGTGTGTTTTTTTTTCTTATGGTGTCTATACTTGCAAATGTTTTTCTTACATATCTTACCCATAACCGTTCCAAGTAAGACCTTTACTAATGTTTCTTGGACGGTGAATGTTCCACTCTTTTATTTTCTTACCTATCTTTTGCTACAATAAAGGATAATTGTACTAAATTCCATGCATATCTGATGCATAACAAAAAAAAAAAATTGAAGTAGACGTATTTCAGTAATGAGATTTTCAAGTAGTTGTGATTTTTATGCATTATTAAAGTATTCAGCTTATTTAAGAATTGTTAACTATAGGCTTATTATTTTAGTATGAATTTATTATTTCCTATTTAATTAGATGCTATTTAGTTGTTCTCCATTATAGGTTATTTAGCTAATTAGATATCTCTCTCTTAGTTTTTATTTCAAAAAGAAAAGATATCTTTTCCTTTGTAAAATTCTTAAATACACGATTTCTTATCTTGATTGTATTTTAGTGTGTATAAATAGCATTTTAGTTATTCCCACTTGGAGCATAGCCCATCCGCTTGGGTCCGTCAAAAAGCATTATGCAGAATGGAAACTCAGTCCTCTATAAGACCAAATGGGCTGTTGGCAAGGGGAACAAAGTTAGTTTCTGGCAAGACGTCTGGTGCGGTCATGAGAAATCTCCGACCCGTTTTCCTCTCATTTTTGGCATATCCAGAACAAAGATTTACTCAGTGAGAACACATTTAGGGCTGACTTATCCAAAGATCGGAATGTAGTGGTTAACAGGAACTTACAGGATCAGGAAGTGAAAGAATATGAGGAACTGCTTCAGCTTTTGATCCATACCAGACTCAGCAACAAAGAGAACAAATTAAGCTGGAATCTGAATAAGAGCAGTGTATTCTCAGTTAAATCTTTTTATAGATATTTGGAAGGCTATAGAGGAAATTTTCCCTTCTAAATTGATTTGGAAAGCCCACGCTCCTCCGATAATCTTTTTTTGCTTGGGAAGTTGTAAAGGAACCTAACAATAAATAATCCTATGAAGGAACCTGACAATAAATAGTTATTCCCACTTGGAGCATAGCCCATCCGCTTGGGTCCGTCAAAAAGCATTATGCAGAATGGAAACTCAGTCCTCTATAAGACCAAATGGGCTGTTGGCAAGGGGAACAAAGTTAGTTTCTGGCAAGACGTCTGGTGCGGTCATGAGAAATCTCCGACCCGTTTTCCTCTCATTTTTGGCATATCCAGAACAAAGAGTTACTCAGTGAGAACACATTTAGGGCTGACTTATCCAAAGATCGGAATGTAGTGGTTAACAGGAACTTACAGGATCGGGAAGTGAAAGAATATGAGGAACTGCTTCAGCTTTTGACCCATAACAGACTCAGCAACAAAGAGAACAAATTAAGCTGGAATCTGAATAAGAGCAGTGTATTCTCAGTTAAATCTTTTTATAGATATTTGGAAGGCTATAGAGGAAATTTTCCCTTCTAAATTGATTTGGAAAGTCCACGCTCCTCCGATAATCTTTTTTTGCTTGGGAAGTTGTAAAGGAACCTGACAATAAATAATCCTATGAAGAGAGCGATTATTATGGTTAATAGATGTTATCTTTCCAAAAGTAATAAGGAAACTAGTCATCATCTCCTACTGTGGTGTGCAGTCACTCATACCCTATAGTCTTAGGTCTATGGTCTTTATGGGTATTTGCTGGGCTATGGCTGGGTTGGTCAAAAGTGAATTACTCGCTTGGAAGGGTTTATGCAGAAAGAACAACCTTTACTGGCTTATTCCTCTAACAATTGTCTAGATTATTTGGAAAGAAAGGAATTACTGAACTTTTGATGGGAAAGAATTAGATTTTGCTTCTATCAAGAATAAATGGCTTCATATTTTTCGTACCATTATATTAGGTCACAATCTTGATAGTTTAGAAGATTTAGCTTCAATTGTAAATATATTTATTAACTTATAAATCTTTTGTACATAGGTGACGCCCCATTGGTGCTGACACATCAATATATTTCTTGTACTTTTATTTTTTTAAAAAAATTATTAAGTAGATTATTTATAAAATTATTATATAAATATTGAGTTATTGATATTTTTTTAAATCAAGATTTTTACAATTTTTGTTCCTAATAAATTTCTACAAGTATTATTCTCAACTTCTGTTTGTCCTACATCAGTTAATATCAAAGTCTAACTTCCATTTCAGCAGGCTCCCATAGCTTTTCATCCAAACTTCACAATCTATTGCTAAACAAGAAAAAATAATAGCCTCCAAAACCTTGCCAGTGAAACTCATTATAGGCAACAAGTACCTAAACATTGACCTTCAGACACAAGTATTCGCCAGCATCTGAAGCATCACCGCCACGACCACCGACACCAGAGGACACTAACTGGCCTACCTTTAAATCCACTAAAAATTACCACACTTAGGATCAATGTTGACCAACATTGCCTTGCTAGAACATAGGGTGGGTCTCCCAATCACTTAGATAACGGTTGAGACTAGGTTTAGGACCTCCATCAATGGTCATCCACAAAGCCAGAAACTCAACCACCGAAGATTTGCGGAAAGATGTTCATGAACATCACGCATTTGAAGCCGCAAGTTAAAAACTTTGTTACTTGCTTCTGGAGGTGAGCCACCTCTAGAGACAAGTCATTTTTGGAGCTTAGTCATTCTGTTAAAGATAATTCAGAAATTAGCAAGTCACATGTTTTTTCCTGTTTTTAATTAGTTAATTAATTGTTCTAATCTTGTGGCTGATGGATAGTGTTAGATACTTTAGGAGATTTGTTTACCATGGTTATGTAGTTGTTGATTTTGTAGGGTTATGGTTGTAGCTCGTGTATAAATTTGTTGACTGGGAATAATAAAATAATCAGTTCTTCAGCATTTCTGTTTTTTGTCCCTAACCTGTTTGATAAAAGTCTTGAGTGAATTTTCTAGTTTGTTGCTTTATCTCTCTTGATTTTGCAGTAAAGCAGAGAAGTTTATTTTCTAATTCATAACCAGTTTAAAGTTAACATCTAAAATCTGAGCAAGATTATAAAGAGATGGCAAACAACTCCATCGGTGTGAGCACAACTCTTCCCTCACTACCATTATTCAAAGGAAATGACTATGAAGTATTGAGCATAAAAATGAAGACTCTCTTCGTTTTTTAGGACTTGTGGGAGCTAGTTGAGAATGACTATAATGAAGCAGGTGTTTCAGCTGAAGTTCTTAAAGAATCTGAGAAGAAAGATGCTAAAACTCTTATTTTTATTCAACAAGTTGTTGATGCCAACATCTTTTCACGAATTGCAGTCGTAACAAAGTCACAAAACGCACGGAATGCATTACAAATGGCTTATAGGGGAACTGCTAAAGTTTAATCCATCAAATTGCAAACACTTAGAAGACAATTTGAAGAGTTCTCCATGAAGGATGGTGAGACTATGGAGGCCTATTTTTGCAAAATATTAGAGATTGTTAACCAGATACACAAATATTGTGATCAATTATCATAGCAAAAGGTTGTTGAGAAAGTGTTGCAAAGT